ACTAAAATATGGAAGTAAAAAAAAACATAAGCATTTCCATCCCACCGTTTTCTTTCCCTTTTAGTCAATTATTTGTTTTTGTTTGTTTTCATTATCGCCATAATAATTATCGTTTCAATGCCGATGTATGTATAATTATATACGTAGCAGTTAAGGTCAATTTCTAGTCCTTTTGGATGGGAGCATAAGCACATCACAGGCGAGCGCACTAACGAAATTGCTCTCTATTGTTAAGTGCAAGGAAACGCGTTGCTGGTGCCTTGAATATAGAAGCAAAAAAATGTTGATAAATGATTTTCTTCTACTATAGCATCTTTGCAACGAAAATTGCTTGCGTGAAAAGAATAGTTGAGAACGGCTGTAGCAAATACCATTAAACAATTTAGTGTTGGTGTTCTTCTCATTTGTAGAATATCCATGTAACCGGATTTTAAAGTTCAACTACTTGTAAAAATATTTTTTTAGGTTTTTGCTTTAGCCTTTAAAAAACAAACATTACCGTTTTGCCATCCACACGTTCTAAAGTATACGCAGCAACTAAAGTAACAATCCAAGTAACGATTGAGTAAAAGCATTTCTCTTACGCACGCGAATGACTGATATATAGGGAAGCTTAGGTAACTCTCTTTAGAAAAAGGAAAAGCTTTAACGCTCATATTGCATATAATACTTCGCAATTTTGTAAAAGGAAAAAATACCTGTTGTCATAACACTATTTATTACATACGCCCACATGCACACAACCAACTAAACATAACAGTGTAATTCTCCATAATTACTATTGGAGGTTACTATTATTTTATTGTCATTTTGAATATCGTCCTCAAACTTTTGCTCAACGTTAAAAAGCTGAGTAAAAGCTGAAAACTGAAATTTTAATGTTTCTCAAATTAAATTTGCAAATGAGCTACATTCTAAGGAGACGCGTTTATAAAGGTCGGTAATAAAAGCTATTTCTAATTATTACCGAAAGGTTAAACCAGATGAGCAAATTTGTTAACTTTATTTAAAAATTTCCTGTTAACATTTTCAGTTCAGTTTAAATATATAAAACCTATAAATATATAATATAATGCCTTCGTTATATATATATAGTCAAGTTATAAGATTTGATAAGCTCTTAAAATAAGACCCACACTAGTTTTTGACCACACCAGGAAAACTTATTTTAAATAATTTAACCAAAAAGCGCTCATGGTTGATTCTATCAAGTACATGATGGGTCAGTGTAAGTTACGTTTACTTGTGTCTGTTGTTTGTTTAGGAAAAGCCTTTGAAGGGTAGTTACAAAACTCTACTGAATTAGTAATGGTATTTGTCAATTTCTAAATCGATCTGTTTGCCTGTCGGCTTGTCTTGTGTTCAGCCTAATGGCGGCACTTTTCGTGCGCGGATCGTGTCCCACTATAACGTTATTGCTCGGTTTTTTATGCTTTTTATTATGTACACATGTGGACAGAAAAGTAGATGGTTTATATTTGTGTTTTATGTATTTTTTGCCATTTTTCTCCTACTATATATTATGTTTATCATCTATTTATAAAGTAGGAACATTTCCATATTTAACAACTAAGAAACTTATATTCGGCGGGGGACGAATTTCGCTTACCCACCACTAAGCTTTTCGCATTCTACCAATCGCGGTGTCTAACATATTCATTTTCAAATCAACCAATTTTTAGGCATATAATATATCTACATGTGTACAAAATAGTTTTAAGCATTCTGTCTTGTTTGCCTTATGGTAAACAACCATAAAACCTAAAAAAATTGGACAAGTTAAAATTTAATTCCTTGTAACTTTGTGTGGGCAAGGCCGATTATTTCTATTTTTGGACGTAAAGAGTAGACTGTTTCGTAAAGTAAATGTGGAAAATTTCAACGTTTTAAATTGTATAGTTTTTCGGATAGTAAACAGAGTTGCGTTCAGTTTATTCTCCACTGCTGATTAATTTGGCCCATTTTCAATGCCAATCTGCATGCAAAAATTTCCAATGTTTCTCACAAATTTGAAGTTTATTTTTGCGACTAGCAGAATGCCAACAATACACCCCATACAAAAGCACAAGTGTGGCTACCAGAATTTTACCCTGATCAAGGATATGTATACTTTATAGGGTCTCCGAAGCTTCCTTTTGGATTTTACATTGTGGAAAAAAACGAAATGGGTGTATCCCCGTCTGACAGGGATGGGTATAAAAATAGATGAAATATGATGCTTTAGTCCTCCTCAAATCTTCTCAATAGGATTGAGGCCGGGAAAGCGACCTGGCTATTCAGTGACATCCAAGTTATGCTCCGGAACTAGTTGTAGCTTATTTTCTGGGGCATGCGGTAATATTGGTTTTCCACAAGTTTTTATATACAGTTATATCAATAGCGTTTTCTCTGACATGTGTCGAACCAATTCTCTCCCAAAAAAAAAACAGCCCTGCACCATTAAATTTTCTCTGCAATGCGTCGCAGGTTTTTCAATAAATATATTGTGAAATTCTTTTCCTTTTAACAGAACACAGCTTCCTGCACTTTTTCCATACAAATTTATTTGTGTTTCCTCGTTCGAAGGTATATTTCTCCACTTTTTTTCACCTTCTGATTTGCAGCAATCTTTATCCGTTGAAGCAAAGTTTTCCGTCTTCTCCAAATTAATCTTTCTGAACATAAGAACTTTTCGAACCATCCTTTCTGGTAGATTGGCACCTTATATTTGGTTCAGTTCGGAATGGTACACTATTCCTAATTTCGTACGATTATCAGAATCAGGAGAATTTTTTTTTTTAGTTGCTTCGCATATCTCGATACTTTTTTTGGGTGCTCAAAACATTCGTGACGAAGTTGCAGAACCAATCTAGAGATGCGGAAATAAATTTGTAGGTTTCTCGCTGATTTCGTACATGATTTTGATTTTAATTTCGTAGTCATAATCCTTCTTGGCTACAATGATGACCCATCTAATATTATTATTAAAACGAAATCATATTACATTTCCTTCTCAAGAAATACAATTTACCTTCACAATTCACTTTTACAACAAAATATTGCAAAACACTTTAGTTTTCGCAATTTTGAAGAGGACGCATCTATTTCACTGCCCGGCTGGGAAAGCTACTAAAGCAACTTAAAAGCCCTCGAACGTTTACTGCAAGAACTTGTTCACCTGAGATCCAGAAATTAATTTTGACCATTTTCGCCGCGTGTAAAATCGTCGCTTGAGCTTTGTGGAAACCACCTTTTACAAATGTTGGAGCATAGAACTGAAAAAGACATCTCGCACCTATTTTTCTGTCAACATGTGTGCATGGGTATTGTCATTATCTGCTAAAAGAATTATTATATTACCAATAGACTTTGTACTCATTTTTGTTACTGTCAAAAATAACGCGAATTTACTTATTGTTATAAAAAGGTAGTTAAGGTTATAGAAAAATTTTTGAAAACGCTTTACTTTTCACAAAATTTAGTGGATATGCACCTATTTCACTGTCCAACCAAAAAATCAACTAAAGGAAAATCAAAGCTCTCAACGCTTTACTGCAAGAAGTAGTTCACGTTGAATTCTGAGAATTAATTTTCGACAGTTTTGCCACACGTAGAAATGTTTTATGAGCTTTGTGGAAGCTAACATTTACAATTTATAAGGTATAGAGGTGAAAAATATACCTCGCGCAAATTATGTTCGCATATGCATATATTATATATAAATGTACATGTGTGAATATGTGGGTAGCACTTGGCTTTATACTTTTTGCTATATTGAAATTAATCGAGAATTTATCTTTTAGATAATGGCTCCATGTTATGTGCTTAGAAGATGAAGTTCAATTTTGCTACTCATGTTGACAAGAAAAGCAGATACCTTAACCGTTTGAGTCCCAGACGGTATTGAAAAAACATTGTCGAAGAATCCCTGCTTGGGAATCCTCGTCTGGCTTTTCTCGACATAAAATCTGAACAGCGCGACCGCGCCGCTTGGGACTCACGCGGTTAAGGAGTCCTTTATGCGGATTTATCAAACATCCTACGGTGCTTCTAAAAAGCAATTTGACAAGGGGAAATATCACGATTACCTACCTGTAAATGTTTCAAGATAATAGAAGAAATTTTCAAGATATCACAATCCAAAATATTTTAGGGCATCTGAAGAATATACGATACGGGCAAAATCGTGTCAGACATCCAAAAAAGCTAATAATTAATAACAATGTCTATGGTTCCAATTGCAATTTCAATTTCTCACGCTTCTGTTGTATCAAACCATTAATCAAATCCGCTATGTGTACGTATAGAAAAATTCCCCCAATGAAATTCACTATCGATTAAAACTAAGGTTATTTTGTACGTTTGGCCTTAACATCGAGGAGAAGAACGAATGTTAGTGTACCAGCCTACACGACGAAGTCTCTTCTTTATATATACATATATTACATGTGACACAAGAGCATCAACGATTTTATGATTTTCAAACAAAACTTACACTTTCAATATACTTTTTAATTTGACATTTTGCAACGATAATGTGTTGCGTACTATATAGCTTTCAAAATAATTTCACTTTCAGCGTTGGAGAATGGACGTAAGGAACGCAGCGACGATATTATATTTTATGGGCACCCGAGATATTTCGTTAGAAAAAACATGTATTTTTTATTCATATTTCCACGATAACTAAAGAAAAATTTAAGAATTGCAACATTCTTCTGCATTAATGTTGCTTTAAATATAATAACAACACCCTCCCTCTACTCTACCATCTGTTAAGAAATCTTCCGTACAATGCGTTATAAGTTTGTATTCCTTCGTTTTTAAGTCAAAATTTGACTTGTAGAAATTTTTTTTCTGAGTATTTCAATTGTGGAAAAATTTTTATTCAAGAAATTTTTTTACCCGCATAAAAATTTTTGAAATCGCCTTCCCGAGAAAAAATTTATGATTAATATAAATTCTAAAAATCGGCAAAAATACATCAGTATAGTTTATATATTTCTCCAACGAATCATATGACAGCGCTATGATTGAATTGTTGTCTCTACCGCGCAGACATACCAATCAAGTGGAAAATGTGGCAGGAGTCAAATTTAAATCTGGCTTACCGATTAACAGCTTGCCCGGTTGGGAGCACATACCGCTGAATTCGAAATTACCAATGTTGAAGTGTCCCGGTAATCAGGTAATATTTTCGAAGAATAAAATTGGGCAAGCCGTTAGAGACGATCGGTAAGAATCAGCGGAAAAAATAAAAAAATATGTATGAATATATTTTCCAAAACCTACTTCGACAGTCACTTAAAGCATGAATTTGATCCGTCGGGCCGCGACAGCTTTCCAGAATACAACCCACTTCATGACTCAAATTTGAAAACCTTTTATGCCAATGAAAGAAACCTGAAGCGACTGCGAGAAAATGGTGAAATTACGCACAACAACGACGTCATCTGCAATTTGAAAGACTTCAATGAATATCGACAACAATTACACAAATCGCAGCTTTACTATATACTACAAGATCTAAATAGACTGGTGAGTTTAAAGATAATAATACTACAAAATCTGTTAAACGAAAATATTTACAATAGGAAGCCGAGCAACACGATCGTATGTTGATAGCAAATGCCGAATTTATAACTAATAAAGATCATCGTAACTTAAGTGCTCGTCAACATACTTACACAGAAATATTGCAACGAAAACAGCTTTTGGATGAACAAAAGATAGAACGTTGCAAGAAACTGCTTGAACGGACTCAGGAGAAGTTTCTATATGTTAGCATAGTGCAAAATATACGAAAAGCTACCATTGAGCACAAAAAAGCATTAAGGCAGCTGCGGATGCAAAAGCATTTAGACGTGCGGAATGATTTACAACGTAAGCAACTGATAGCGTTGAAAAAACTTTTTCAATTCAAAAAGGATCGTTTGCAAAAAAATTTGCGATTATTGCAAGAAAGCAGAGATAAAAAAGCGAATGAAGAACAGTATGCTTCCTGGAATAAACGCTTGGCTGAGCGCATAGCAAATCAAAAGAAAATCCAAACGCTTATAGCGGAAGTAAGTGAACAAAGGAAAATCTTCATAGAAAATCACAAGCGACATTATCACGAGAAGTGGGAACGCATACAAAATGATATTAAAAAGCGTTCAAATCTGACACGCAAACACTTCCTCTCTAGGCATAAAGTATCGAGCAAGAAAAAGCTGTCCGATTTAGGACATGGAAAAAATGATATTCTTTCAATTTGTAACGATTTACAAGGCAGCTTTGAAAAAATGCTGGATGAAGACGTATGCTTGGCCTTAAATGCAGTCCTCGATATGGAGGAGAACGTTAAAGTTCCTTTTGACTCCGATGATCCCATTTATAAGGCAGCACAATTCATTATGAATCATATATTAGCAAAATTTAACAAGGACCTTAGCCACGACAAGGCCGTCTTTACGGCGGTTTACGATCGCCTACACTCGTTTTTCGACGAAGCAAGAAAATTTGTTTTATTTGTAAGTATAAGAATCAATAAAGGATTTTTGGTAAATATTGTGTTTTCTGCACGCAGAGAGCTACGCAAATCATTACTTCGGTGAGAGAGTTTAATAAATCAAAAATTGAGAATAACGGGTACACTAGTCGGGTATCTTTCAGTCGTTACTCCTCTACAATAGGCACTTCCAGTTATTCCATACATCCTTTAATAGAAATAAAGGCGGTTTCTGAGCGTAGGGCAACGCCTGCTGTAAGCTTATCAATATCTTTATTCTCAAACCATGTTTGCCATTACTAACTGCTCATTTTTCCTTTATTTGGGATTATGAAGGGATCGCTCGATTCCCTAGTCATAGATTCTACGACCAGCTTGGTGAATAAAGCACAGACTCCCCATTTGTGTCGCAACGAAATCGTTTTCATTGAGCACTATTTGGTCAAATTTAAACGTGAACTAATAGTTGGTGTTGGACGGATAGTATTCGCAGCTTTACAATGTCATTTTCAAAACAAGATAATGAATGTACGGCAGGAATTACTAGGTAAGTTAATTTTGGTGAAGAAGAAAACATGAAGAATATCCTTTTTCCTTCAGATATTGACCGGAAATTTTTGTTGAAACAAGTTACAAAATCCATATTGAGCTACAGCGTTAATCCTTTAAATTTTGAATCAAATTTACGGTTATGTATAAGTGCTTTGGCAAGTGATATTATTTGGTCGTTACAACAACAGTTACTCAAACCTGACCGAGATCCTCGAAGAATAGCTAAACCAAAATTTGCTTGCAATCACGACAAAGATTCAATGCAACTTTGTATGGATTGTTTCGGCTCCTGAGTTAAAAAGGAAATCCAACCAGTTACTATTGTTCTACTAATTCCTTACGGTTTCTCTTTTAATTAGATCTGACATTTTAAATAAACTTTTGTAGCAAATTGTAATTATTTTATAAACGTACCTCTTGATTATTTCTGGAAAATTTGGATTATCTTTTTTAAAAACCACATTAAATTTACTACCGCACAATGACAAGTGCACATACAACTACTATATTCTTATTACTCAGCTGCTTTTGCCTTACCATATGCATACAGTTAGTAGATTAAAATGTTTCTGCAGCGGTTGGCAAATATCAAAAAGTTTCGTCACAACGAGCCAAACCGTAAGGGAACTGACACAATAAAGTTTTGCTTATATTGACACGCGCGGGAGATACATTCAATTTGTAAATTTTATGCGCTACAAATTTGTAGATTATGTACATAACATATATATATATGTAAGAAATATGTATAAATATTTATAAACTAAATTTGCCTTCCATTTTATGAAAAATTTTACTTTAAATCACGGTTTTACAGCCGCAGAGTGTTGACAAGATCAAGCGCCATTTTTGTTTTCGGATTAAAAACTGGTAAAAGCATTCTGCAACAGCGCTACCATATTCTTTAATAGAAAATAGTAAACAAAAATATTTGGTTTTCAAAATAAAAATAAAGCACTGAAAGTGCAAACAACAAATTCGTGAAAAATAATACTGAAAAGTTAATATAAAAGTAAATAAACTTGTTTATAGATTAGTGATAAAGAATATTAATTGGATACATGTAAATGTATACATCAGCAATATTTTTGTTTTTTATTATTACCATTTATCTCTCTCTAAAACAATTTGATGAATATATTTCAATTTTAAAATAAATGGTTTTCATTGCTTGTTTTTAATATCTTACTAATAATGCACAGTATAAATCGCAATTGTCAATCACAAAATATAAAAAATGCACATTAATGTAAGATAAACATAAATTAGAAAAATAGCTTTAAAACTTAATAGAAACTATCATCATTTTTTTCTTTTTGTTTTATGCGTATGTAAAACGCTATGATTCGTCAGTTCTTATAAAGATTCGTAAAAAGTAGACAAAGTTGAAGTCTCAACCCTAAATTAGGAATAACGCCTCATTGTGTTTCTCCCTAAATACGTACATCTGCATACTCTTTTATTTGTTTTTATTACACGGCGAGTCATCATATATTGTTTTCTCGCTGAATGTTCAAGGAGAAGAAAAAAGATCTATGTATACTAAGTAATAAAATAACCAAAGAAAGCAATTTTAAAGGCAGAAAAGGAGGGAAGGAAGAGGAATCTCTCGTGAAAGAAAAATTAAGAAGCAATACATATATTCAATTTTTTTTTTTTTTGTTGTGATTTTTTCTTTTTTTTGTGATAACAACCAAAACAACATCAGCCCGTCTCCCTGTGGAGACTGGGTCTGATCTTATAACTACTGATAGAGACTGTTTTGAAGATTTTTACATGAACGCCACTGGGCACACCAAGAGATCAAGGACGGGTGAGAATAATATTCTTTTATCTGCTAACGGAGAAGTTAAGCAAACGTTTTAATTCCGCCTAGTAAACAGACTATCGACAAGCCCTCTGATTTGGGTGCCACAGCCGCCCCAAGTCTCGAGATCAATTTGTACGATTGCCTTTCGAAGTGCAATTTTTTCTGTATCTTCTTTTAATTCCTAGAAAACCAACATTTCTTATAGACTCATGATTGCTCAGACTTATGATAGTTTATTTAAAAATGATTCGTGCTATACCATGTTATGTTTGTGAAGTTTGTAATGTTGAGTCTGCTGAGCATCTAATCTTCAGATGTCACAGGTTTGATGGCATTAGAGATTCCTTTAGCTTCTTCAAGTTATGGCTGTCTCCTCGATCTCTTTGCAACAAAAGATGTACGTCATCTCGGGGAACTAACTTGCTTTATTAAAAAACTAATTTATCCTTTTAGAATTGTTTTTTTCCCTCTTCTTTCCTTTTTTTTCTTTTGTTTTTGCGTTCAATCATCTATTACCATAGCATTCCTTTTTCGTTTTCAGCCAAAGTTTGCAACACTGTTTGACTTTCAAGAACTCAACAAGCACAATTACACACACACACACATAATTACACTTAAAATGCTGGCTCCAGTTATTACGGCCGCTCCTTTTTTGTTACGTTTTGTACATAATTGTGACCAAAAATTACGATAATGTATTATCTGGACATATAAGCCACAAATCTAATGGCATAGTCCCCCTCCATTCAAAATACCGAAAAAAAAAAAAATATTACTGTAGCCAAATTAGTGTGAAAACAAATAAATATTTTGAAATTTACAAATGAAACATTTTTGAAAATTTACACTTTGATCTTACCCACAAGGCTGAGAAGCGACGGATTATGGGCCTATAAGATAATTGGCCTCTTCCATATGTCAACTTATAAACTAGAAAAAAATTTATGACGCCATCGGCGACTCTACTATTATTAATTGTTCCGTCATTTGAAAACCACTCTTAATAAAACGATTCGACAAATATATTTTAAAATGAAAAATAATCACCTTTATTGCCTTTTTTCATTTTTTGGAAAAAAGTTAAAATAATGTGAATGAAATATAAAATTGTTTAAATAGCTTTTAAATTTAAAATAAGTTGCTTTTCTTTTTCCTTTACCCTTTTCTTGATTACTTTTTTATTTTTTAAATCAAATGCTGGTTGAAAAATAAGCAATGTTTGCAATCTATTCTCACCTTAAAATATCGTTTTCAAATCAAAACTTTTAAGCAATCCTTTTGCGTCATTTAAATGTATCAGCCAAGTCTATTCCACATGCCTTTCTTTTAAAATCATTTTTTTTATCTTTTATTTGAATAATTAATCAAAAATTTAATATGCTTTTATGTTAATTTTTGTATGCTCTTTTTTCCTACATTTGTTGTTTACATTCATGTTGACTTTATTTTTATTTCTCAAACCGTATGATTTTTGTTTATATTTACATAGATTTCTTTATTATCATACTTGTGATAGAATGTGTTCTCCGTGAAAATTAAATAATTAAAAAAAGAAAAAATCAAATCCAATTTTAAGAAGACTCAATTTCTTTTCTCGGATCAAAAAGTGGAATCTTTACTTGCTGATTGACGATTATTATCACGCCAAAATGTGATAAAAAATCCTGTGAAAGTGTGCAAAAGTCACACCTTAATAACTCATCGATAACTGAAAATTAAAATTAAACGAGAAATCATTTCAAAAGGGAAAGCGACAACAAAAACAAACAATTTACTGTTTCTACAACGCAACTGACGCAAAAAGTGCGTTATATCCAAATAAAAAAGACAATAATTTGGGAATACATCCCATTGCATAACTCATCTCACTCAATAAACATCACTTCACACTCAGGCTCTGCTCGACTGCTTATGTAGCATACTTAAAGGGCTCTAAACAGATTTTGACTAGCTCGCCGAAATTGGGGGGTTCAAAAGAGGAATTTGCCCTAAGGATTTTTATAATAAGTATGTGATGTAAGGTGGAAGTGTAGTGTAATGTGTAAACTTACTTCGCCAGCCAGTAACAAACAAAGCGATTTAGTTAATAAACATTTTAATATAAGGAATAATCATTATGAATAATTAAAATAATGACATTTGTGTTTAAGACAAAAAAAAAAAAAATGAATTAAAATGTTAATATTAAATAACTAATTTAATTAACAATAATTCAACTCACCTTTTTAAAGAGTCCTCGAATGTACATTCGTGTTACGTATTAAAAAGGCATTTTTCTAATTTTAAAAGAAAATAAAATAATTAAACAGATTAAAAGACTAGTAAGAGTAAAATCAAAATTAAGCCTTAGACAGTCAGAATCACTCATTTAACAAACTGCATCGCGAGAGAGACGGTACATCCTTGTGGCCACATCATATGTTGCTAATTGAGTTTTGTAGACTGGGAGATGATAAACAGTCAAATATGAGGTGGACTAAAGTCGGAGTCTGTGGTGTTGTTCTTTGAGTACGATGAACTACACAGAGGGAGGTAACGATGTTTCCTTTCCCAAGCTGCAATGTTTGACTATTTCAGATAATTCAGTTTTTTTCTGAATATAATTCACTTTTTGTCACAGCTTTCTTTTTCTGTTTTCGTCAACTTTCTTCTGTATCTTCTTCTCCTAGTTCTTTAACCAACTTTCTTAAAGAGTCTTGAATTTCACAAGCTCTCTTTTGTAACAAATTTCTTGTTCACTTATTTAGAAATTATTCGTGTGTTTACTTTCGCCAGATCGCGATTTAACGAGAAACATATTACTAAATTTCTTAAAAACTTTCTATTTCTATGTGAGAAATTTTGAACGAATTTTTGTTTGAACTGCGAGGCGTTTTATTTTTCACCAAAAAAACAAAAAATATCGAGTTTTTGTTTCTTTTCGAAAAATTGACTTGTAAATGCCACACTCAACAAAAAATTCTTTTTTTCTTTTTTTTTTTTCCTTCAAAAAAAAGCATCGCCTACTTCTTTTTCTACACTTACCGTCTCTAAATTTACACAACTCAATCTGCGAAATATGGTTTGTCCACAAAGACGCACCATTTCCCCCGAAAGTACGGACATCAAAATCCCTCGTGCTAGAGCTTATGCCCACACCAGAATTGAGTATAATGTTTTTATCCATTTCAAGAAAAATGCGTTACCAATAATCGAACTTGGCCAAAATTTATATTATGATTTCCATAACTTGGAGACGTTTTTCGTCTTTAAAAATAAAAAAACAAATTGATTTTTTCCGATGCGGCTACGGCACATTCTATTGCCGCCAATACTTCGCATAACAATATTTATAACGTGTATATTCGGTCCGAATTCTGATGGTGCCCTTTCTATCCCCTCTGATTTCAACGAAATTGAAATTCACTCGAACTCGCGAGTCTCAGGAATCTGCCCAAATTCAATCCCTTACCTAACTTCTGCAATGTTGCAGAAGTCATGCGCTTTTATAAATCCGACAGTTCCTCTAACTCGCATGTGCCGTTGGACAGGGTATGTTGGAATTTTTTCGGACGAGTTTTGATCTTCCACATTTGTTTGTAAGGCGTTAACGTCCTGGTTAAACCATAAGTCGAGCTGTCGTTACAATGGTGCAAGCGCTGGTGTTTCGGTGAAAAATGTCAATTGTGAGATGACCACTCACCTAATTCGAAAACTTTTCCTTCCTATAAAAAAATTACTGAATCCAAAAACGATGCAGCGGATCATTTGAAGCCGCAAATACACACCTTTTGCCGAAGTGCTTACGCTCACGCAAATAATAGCTTGTCATTCAAAAAGATGGTAACTCCTGAAATCACCATTCCATCTTTCAATATAAAAATCTTCAAATCCCAAGACTGTGACACCCATCACAGATAATA